CATCCTCACCAATACTTTTTTCTTCTTAATAGTTTCCATCCTACTGGAATGGTGAGAAGTGGTATTTGATTGTAGCTTCGATTTGCATTTTCCTAATTATTAGTGACATTGAGCATTTTTTCATGTTCTTATTGGCCATATGTGTATCTTCTTTAGAGAAAAGTCTATTCAAATCCTTTGCCCATTTCTACATTGGGTTGTTTTGCTTTGTTGTTGTTTTTGGAAGTTCTTTGTATATTCTGAGTATTAATCCCTTATCAGATATATGACTTGTAAGCATTTTGTTTTATTCCGTGGGTTGCTTTTTTACTCTGACGGTGTCTTTTATGCACAAAAGTTTTTAAATTCTCATCAAGCCCAATTTGTCTAGTTTTTTCTTTTGTTGCCTGTGCCACTGATGTCATATTCACAAAATCATTGCCAAATTCAGTGTTGCTAAGTTTTTGCCATATGTTTTTTCCTAAGAGTTCGTAATTTAATTCTTACATTTAGGTCATGATCCATTTTGATTTAATTTTTGTATGTGTTGTAACAGTCCAACTTCATTATTTTGCAGTGGATATCCAATTTTCCTAGCACCATTTGTTTAAAAAACTGTCTTTATGCCAATAACACACTTGTTTTGGGTAATGTAGCTTTGTAGTAAGTTTTGAAATCAGGAGTGAGTCCTTAAACTTTGTTCTTTTTCCAAAATTGTTCTGGCTATTTGAGAGCCCTTGTAATTCCATATGAATTTTAGGATGGAGTTTTCTATTTCTGCAAAAACATCATTGGGATTTTGATAAGGATTCCATAGAATCTGAAGATTGGTTTATATAATATTAACATCTAAACAATATTGTCTTCTAATCCATGAACATGAGATGTCTTTCCATTTATGTCTTCTTTAATTTCTTTTAGCAATGTTTTATAGTTTTAATTGTACAAATCTTTTACTTTCTTGGTTAATTCCTAAATATTTTTTTTGTTTTTGATGTTACTGTAGACGGAATTGTTTTCTTTTTTCTTTCTTTTTTTGAGAGGGAGTCTTGCTCTGTTGCCCCGGCCGGAGTGCAGTGGTGCGAGGCACAGTCTTGGCTCACTGCAACCTCCACCTCCCAGGTTCAAGCGAGTCTCCTGCCTCAGCCCCTTGAGTAACTGGGATTACAGGTGCCTGCCACCACATGTGATTAATTTTTGTATTTTTCATAGATACAGGGTTTTGCCATGTTGGCCAGGCTGGTTTCAAACTTCTGACCTCAAGTGATCCACCCATCTTGGCCTCCCAAAGTGCTGGGATTACAGGTGTGAGCCACCGTGCCTGGCTAGAATTTTCTTAATTTCCCCTTTTGGGATAGCTTCATTGTTAGTGAATAAAAATGCAATTGATTTTTGCATGTTGATTTCATATCCTCCTACTTTCATATCCTCCTACCTTGCTGAATTCATTTATTAGTTATAACCATTTTTAAATAGAATATTTAGTGTTATCTATATGTAAGAGCATATCATTTGTGAAGAGATAATTTTACCTCTTCCTTTCCAATGTGGATGGCTTATTTTTAAATTATTTTCTCGCTTAATTACTGTGGCTAGAACTTCCAGTGCTGTGTTGAATAGGAGTACGAAAGTGAGCTTCCTTGTCTTGTTCCTGATTTTGTAGGATAATCTTTCAGTTTTTCACCATTGAATATGATGTTCACTGTGTTTTATACATGTCTTTTATTATGTTGAGGCAGACCCCTTCTATTCCCTGCTTGAGTGTTTTTGTCATGAAAGGGTTTTGAATTTTGTCAAATGCTTTCTCTACCTAAATGGAGGTGATCATAAAGTTTTTTCCCTCCATTCTGTTACTGTGCTGTATTACATTGATTTTTTTTCCTCAACTGCTATTGATTGATTTTCATGTGTTGAATTATCCTTGCATTTCTAGGAATAAATTCCACTTGGTCATGGTGTATAATCCTTTAATTATGCGACTAAATTCAATTTGCTAGTATTTTATTGAAGATTTTTGCATCAAAGTCATAAATGATATTGATCTGCAGTTTTCTTCTAGTGTCTGTGTTTGGCTTTGGTGTCAGAGCAGTGCTCGCTTTATAGAGTGATTTAGAGTTTTCTTTCCTTTTCAGTGTTTTGGAAGAGTTTAAGAAGGACTCGTGTTGGTTCTTCCTTAAACATTTAGTAGAATTCATCAGTGCACCCACCAGGTCCAGGGCTTTTCTTTGTCAAGAGGTTATTTTTAGATTACTGATTGAATCTCCTTACAAATTACAGGTTAATATGGTTTGTCTGTGTCCTCACCCAAATCTCATCTTGAACAGTAGCTCCCATAATTCCCACATGTTGTGGGAGGGAGCCGGTGGGAGATAATTGAATCATGGGGGCAGTTTCCCCCATACTGTTCTCGTGATAGTGAATAAGTCTCACAAAATCTGATGGTGTTATAAGGGATTTCTCCCTTCACTGTTCTTTCATTTTCTCTTGTCTGCCGCCATGTAAGACATGCCGTTTGCTTTCTGCCATGATTGTGAGGCCTCCCCAGCCACGTGGAACTGTGAGTCCATTAAACCTTTTTTCTTAAAAAAACAAAAAACCCAGTCTTGGGTATATCTTTACTAGCAGCGTGGAACAGAATATTACACAGGTCTATTCATATTTTCTATTTCTTCATGATACAATCTTGGTAGGTTTTTTGTTTCTAGGCATTTGTTCATCTAGTTTGTCCCATTTTTCGGCACACAATTGTTCATAGTACTCTCTTATAGTCCTCTTTATTTCTGTAGAATTGATGGTAATGTTCCCATTTTCATTTCTGATTTCAGTAATCTGAGTCTTTTTTTTCTTAGTCAATTTAGCCCAAATTTTACTAACTTTTGTCAATCTTTTTAAGAACCAACTTTTGGTTTTGTTGATTCCATTTTTCTGTTTTATCTGTTTTGATTTTGTATTATTTTATTCCTCTGCTAGCTTTGTGTTTGCCATTGGTTCTTGATATTTAATGTTAACATGTTTTACTTTTTTATAAATCTGTTAATATTCCAACTGTTTTTTAATATAATTGCTTTCCTTTGTAATCCTGTTTTAAAACACTTGAAAACACTGAAACGACATAGGCTTCACCACACTTGCAAAGGTGCCATAGCACAAAAAAGGTTAAGATTTTTACTCCTATTTAGAACCCGCCTTCCCAAACCCCCAATTTTCATTACATATACTGCTATTTTCCTCTTAGATCACTGGTTTTTAGACACATAAATATCCCTGTTGTTCCTTGAACAGAACAAAGCATAACTTCTACTCAGGTGCAGGGGCTCATGCCTGTAGTCCTAGCACTTTGGGAGGCTGAGGTGGGCAGATGTCTTGAACCCAGGAGTTGGAGATTAGCTTGGACAACATGGGGAAACTCATCCCTACAAAAAATACAAAAATTGGCTCACTGCCAACCACTTCCACCCAAGTTCAAGGGATTCTCGTGCCTCAGACTGCGGAGTAGGCTGTGATTACAGGCACCTGCCACTATGCCCGGCTAATTTTTTGCATTTTTAGTAGAGACGGGGTTTTGCCATGTTGGCCGGGCTGTTCTCGAACTCCTGACCTCAGGTGATCCGCCCGCCTCGGCCTCCCGAAGTGCTGCGATTACAGGCATAAGTCACAGCGCCCGGCCATCTCCACCTTTTCTTATCTCCCAAAAGAAATAACATCTCTGGCTTTATGTAGAATAGTGTATACTGCCACATCAGTGTTTGAGTCATTCCCCAGAGGAGAGGGGAACTACCCCTCCATTTTTTTTTTTTTTTTTTTGCAACATCTCATCTTCCTTTTGCTGTTGCTTCCCCCCACACACACTTGGTTTTCTTCTATCCTATACTTCAGATTTCTGTTTCGTGTTTTTTTAATATTGAAAAGATGACACTGCCTCAAGAAGCAAAAATAAATGGCAACTGAAAAAAATTTTCTTAAAAAAAATTTTATTTCTTTAATCTCTTAAATCACCTGGAATGAATATTATGTCAACTAGGAGCTTAAATGCTTAAATGTATTTTACCCCAAATGGTTAACTAATCCTCCCAATAGCACTCATTTGAATAATCTGTCCTTTTCTCCATATATGTTACATGTCTTTTACAAAATACAGCCTATTTGGGGCATGTTTCTGGGCTTTTGTTCTATTGAGCTGTCCATTTGCTTACACCAGAAATGCCAGTTTATTTTTTGTAGTTTTCCAATCTTTCAATTTCTATCAGTGTTTATTTAATTTAACATTAATCCACTGTATTTGTATTTTTTCAGTGGTGGTAAATGGAAAAAATTAAAAATCTAATGAAAGCAGCCAAAAAGCACACAATTTATGTCCTGTTAAGACTTCTGCATGCAAGTATCATGCTCCAAATATATTTTTCATCTTTACTTTTTCTGACGGAAAGGGCTCAAGTACTTTGGGAAGCAAAACAGAATTGACAGACCCCGAAAAGATACACAGCAGGCATGTGGGGTAGCGTGGGTGGCAACTGTTCTTACATAATTTTAATTTGAATTAAACGTAATGTAACTAATAAATTACTTTTTAGATTTCCCTTTGCCATAAACAGGGAATATAACTAACATCAAAGATTCCAGACTCTCGACACAATATACTACTAATCGTAACACAGTTCTAGAGAATCAAAAAAGGTAGAGAAGTTTGGACCGCGGAACAGACCTGGTGGAATGTCGACCCAAAGCGTTTCAGGGTAGACAAAGCCTACTGAGAACACCCTAAACGCGGAGTTTTGCTAAGTAGGGGACGCTGAAAGGCAAGGGAGCGACAGGAAGCCCGCAGGCTAATTCGCCATTAAGAAACAGAACCGTGGCTTCTCCCACCTCCAGCGTCATCGGCCCCCAATCCACTGTAACAAACGGATAGTGTCTCGCAGCATCAGACAAGGGACTTGAAAATCAGTTTGAGACCACGCATCTGCGCCTCTTCTAACAAACGAGGAAGGCGGGTCCAAGCGCGGTAACAACATACTTCACAGGGCCCACTGCAAACGCCCTCCCTGCAGCGGAGCAGTTATCTCGCGAGATGACGGGTCCCCAGAAGTCATAAACCTAGCGCCAAGATTGGCTGTCAAGGTAGAGTCCAGGGTGCGGAAGTGGCTTTGTGGTGCCACCTTTGGCCGCTCAGAGGTCAACACCCATTCTACACCGAAAACTAGGCCTTGGCTGCTATGGAAGGACAGCAGGGGGAAAAAAGCCACGCAACCCTAACACTCGCCCAGGCTCATTTCAACAAGGGCGAGTACGCGGAGGCCGAGACGCTGTACTCCTCTTACATTCGCCAGTGCGCCTGCGCGGCCTCCAGCGGCGAGAGTCCCGGGAGGTAACTATCGCGAGACCTGGGGCCGCAGCGACCCCGGGTGGAGGCGACGTGGCGGCTCTCTGGGCTCGTGTTTTCGCTGCTGGAGCTCACGGGCGGCGCGTGTCGTAACCCAGCATTAGGACTGAGCGGGCCGACGTTCGTCTTTCTAGAAAGGCCTAGGCGAGGCCTAGGATGAGGGCGGCGGAGAACGCGGGGAGGGAGCCCACCCGCGAAGAGTCGTCTGCCGCGACGGTGCGGGGAGCTTCCGGGAACCGAACTCCCTGAGGGCTCCTCGGACGCGGGCCGCCGCTTTTCACCCCGCCGTCTCTCCTTCCATGTTCCTCATTCCCACCCAAAGACTTAGGACAGATAGGGATTTTCCACTTGTGATTTTAGCTGGCGGGAAATCCGCAACCTGGGAAGGGAAGGGGTCACGGCTGCGTAGGGCCACGGTACCGGGACTCCCACCTCAGTGTCACAGCGCTGGCTTTTGGTGGTGGTATGAAAAACGTTTATGTAGAAAAGAGCATAACGAACGTCTAGGTGTTTATCGCTTGGCTTAAGCATTATCAGTTTGCCCATCGTATTCATCCATGGGTGTTTCAGAAGGAACTTCCATATCATCGAATAGTTACTTAATATCAAGTAGTCAGTGTTGGAACCTTTCTGATCGACTAATAAGGTGTTTTGTTCTTTGGTTCGCTTTTCGCAGTTGGTTCAAGTCAGGATACACATCAAGTCTTTTTGAGTCTCTCCACCTTCTCTTCCCAACACAGTTTTTCCTTTGTTAAGGAAACCGATTCTTGTGTCCTTTGAATTTCCGCGTTTTGGACTTGCTGACTGAATCTCTTCTGTCATTTAATGTGGTCATCTGTCTCATACTGCTGTGAATTGGTAGTTAAACCTTGAGGTTTGATCCAATTGAATTCAGATTCAGTATCATGGCAAGACTACTTTTTAGGTGGGTACACGTGTATACTTTCACCAGGAAGCACATAATGATTGGCTAGCTTTCTTTTTGTGATGTTAGCAGCTTCACCTGCTACTATCTGCTTACCCAAAGCATCTTTTCGGCTTGTGCCTGGATGTGTAGCATTTGTTTATACTCCAAGTCTTGCTTGATGGGGCTTGTTGATGGTACGGAGTGGACCAGGATGAGAAAAGAACAAGAGGGGTTGATTGAACAGCTTTTTGAAGAGTTGTGAGTTGTCTGTTGTGGAGTTGAGTTTTCTAGACAGGATGCCAGCTTGTCTTTTGTATGAGGCTTCACTGAGGACTTGATTCTTACCCTGTTTGTTACACTTGTATGAAATTAAACCGGAAAGATAAAATTACCTTCTCATTTCAATAACACACGAGAATAATAATAGACGTTTCTGAACAGATAATAAGATGATACCATCTACTTTCCTCAATGCACCTTTAGAAAGCTAAACTATTCATGTTTCGAGCTCTAAGAATAGACTTATCTAGTAGATTTTAAAAAGTATTCATAAGCACCAGGTATACTGATGCTGTCTAGTCTTGTTATTCTTCCTTCTTTGCACATCTCAGCCTAGGAACACAAGTGTCTGTAGCAAATGTAATAGCTATGCCTTACCAGCACAGGAAAGACAGTTTGTCATAGCCCAGTCGAAGGGATTTGAATTCCAGTCTTGGCACTGCCACATGGTTAATGTCTCAGCCTGTTTTTCATCTGTAAAATAAGCTTTGGTAAAATTCTAGGAACTCATGGATTGAAACTGAATTCTGTCATTTCAACTTTTTCCCTTCGATTTATATTCTGGAGCTTACATTTATTTTTTAAGTATTGGGTCACTGAATCATTTTGAAACAATATTTGCAATTTTTGAATGCCTTGCGTTTTGAACAGTTTGTGATGTTTTCTTTTAATATCTAAAGTATAGCTTTAGTCATAAACCTAATTTCCAAAATACTATTTTTTTTGCGAAAGTTAGCAAATCCTAAAAATTCACATTTGGGCTAGGTAACTTAAATGAATTCCATTATAATAAATGCTATCATTACAAAAATTTTAATATTACAAAATATTTCAGCTTCAACTGTTGGTCCATTTCTTTAAAATATGAAACAAAATTTCCACATGAAAAAGCCTTTTAGAAGTTGATTTAATAAGATCTAATTCTAAATCTAACATTTTATGATTCTCTGAATATATTACGAATATATAATTAGTATTAAAAACTTACAACAATAATTCTGAAACTTCGATTTAATGACTAAAACCTTACTGGCATCCTGAGATTGCGTTTTTCTTCAAACTCTCTACTGGGAGCAGTTCAACTAGTGTCATGTCAGACATAGGTGAAGGGGAGTGGTGCCCTCTTGTAATCTAGGTTTTAACAGAGGTGCTTAGTGGCATTCAGAAGTATCCTTACACCCAGTCTCTATCACAGCTCATAGAATAGACAATTTCTAAAATTGCAACAGTTCCTCTCCATCGTTAGCAAACTGGACTGAAGGAGGCCCTTGGGCTGTGAGTGCCTCTTAGGGTAACAGTAGTTACAGTGCCTGTCTGAAATCTCAAGACACTACTCAAGAGAAGTACCTTTTACTTACACTAACTGCATTCACAGATATTTTTGGAGGACTATACTTTTTACTACGGGGTATTACAAAGAAGTGACAGATGAGTTCTGTGTTTGGTTCTAATTTGAGAATTGCTTTGGGAAAAAAGAAAGGGAAACAGAATTATCCCTGACTCAGAGCAGAGCCACTAATGCTCTCTGTGCAGACTATTTGTCCTGTGCATAGAAAGGTTCAGGGCGGCCAGGGGCTGTGACCTGTTGAGCTGGCGGCTGGTCAGAGCTACCTGGGTGTCCAGCCCAGGAAAGGCTGCTAATTTAAAGCTCTTTGGGCAACCTCTAGTGCCCTCAGGTGCAGAGCCAGTTCCGCACAAAGGACATCCAAACTGACTGAAGCCCTGAGGGGGCTAAAGGAGCCCACCCTCCTAGCAGGAAGCCAGCCTGGCATTGGGGAGGATGCCAGCTGAGGCTGGAGGGAGGGCAACTCTGTCCCCAGAGATAACTTCCTGGGGATCATAGCATGTTGAATTTTCACCTAGCGTTAACTTTAGTTCTTTATTGGTGGAAAATGATTTCAAATCTCATTGTTTTAAGATCACTTAAAAATTTGAGAATGAAATTGATTCACATTGTGACATGTCCATAGCATACTTGGGCTTTTCCCTCATTGCTTAGCATTTAACTGATCTGTCTTCTTTGCCCTGCTGGTGTGTGCTTAGAAAAATGAAAAATCATTTTAATGTTATATTCAGCAGGACAAGTTGGTAGTGAACACACTAGAAAGTTAGTATGCTTTTCAGGTTGACATTGTAGTGGTATAACCCTACAAAAGTAGGTAACAGGGTTACACAGAAATTGCTTTTAGCTGTTTATTTGTATGGTTTTTCTTCAGCTTGGATTTTCAGTGTTGATGCTGCATGTTATAAGGCTGTGAAGTTTGACAATACCCAAAAGAGAATGAAAGTGGAAATGAGAGGAATTTGGTAACACAGTGTTTTTAATGTGAACTTTTTGTTTAAAGCAAATGCAGCCCTGAGGATTTGGCTACTGCATATAACAACAGGGGGCAAATCAAGTACTTCAGGGTTGATTTTTATGAAGCCATGGATGACTACACATCTGCCATAGAAGTCCAACCCAATTTTGAAGTTCCATATTACAACAGAGGGTTGATACTGTATAGGCTGGGTAAGAATTTTTTTTCTTTTTGGGTTTTGTCATTGACTGTATTCTGTTACTTCAGAGGTCTCAAATATTGTAAAACTAACGTAGTAATCAAATTTTAAAGTTCTGTGAAATTTAGGTTTAGAGCTTGGAACAAAGGAAGCGTCCCTGAGTTTATTTTAGGCTTTTGATAGGCGTTATAGATCACAGCAGAGCACTGGGGTGGGAATTGGACCTGGGCGCAGGAGCCAGGGTGACCCCATTACTTTGTGCTTGTGCATTCCCAGCTGTGAAATGAAGGCAATTCAGTTGATCGCCTGTGAAACTTTTCTGAGTTAAAATCTTTGAAGACACACAAGACAATAGAAAGTGAAGTTTAGATTCTTGGATTAAAGGGACCATAGGTACTGTTTCTCATTTAAAGTGTCAAAAAGAAAATTAGTTTCCTGTTTCTTAATTTTACTGCAGTTATGTAAAACAGGCGATACAGTTCTGTTAAAATTTTAAGATGATTGATAATACTTACCTGTTAAATCTCAATAAATAAACCCATAACTAATTTTAGGTGTATTATTCCCTAAGGGCACACAAAATTACTTTGATATACACATCTCTATATTATTAAGATAAAAAAGTTCCTTTACTAGAAGTGACTGAAAGCTCATAAATATAAAAGCAAAAGTACATGTATCAAAGCTTTGCCATGAATAATATATAGAAATACTCAGTTTCTTTTCTCTTTTCCATATTTTGGGTTCTGGTACAGGATATTTTGATGATGCTTTGGAAGATTTCAAGAAGGTCTTAGACTTAAATCCTGGATTTCAAGATGCTACTTTGAGCTTAAAACAGACTATTCTAGACAAAGAAGAAAAACAAAGAAGAAATGTTGAAAAAAATTATTGAGATTTTTAACTTAATGGAAGTATTGATTCATGATCCTTACATCTGCATCTAGTTATCAGTAATTTAAAATAGATATTGAGCTATTTTGATTTATATTTAAGAAATTAATACATTAGCACTGAAATAGTGTGTTTAATTAAGGTAATTTCAGGTTGAATGGATTTTTTTATGAAGTGTAAATAATACCAATGTATAAGTGTATATTATTAAATATTACAGTAAAAAGGAATGTGTGGTGTTTTCCTCAGTAAAACTATTTTTGTGATTTTTTTATTCTCAACTATTTTAAAAATGTTACATCTACAGAAAAGTTGAAAGTATAATAAAATAAACTCTTCAGTTAAATTCATGAGTTGTTAATATTGTGCCATATTTGCTTTTTCTATTTAAATATATAACTTTTTGCTGAACCATTTGAAAATAAGGTGCCGAGGTCACAGTACTTTGCCCCTAAATATTTTAGCCTACATTTTCTAAGATTGAAGACATCCTCCTTTATAACCACAACACCATTATAATACCTAATAAAATGAATAATTCTGTAATGTCAGCCATATCCAGCCCATGTTCCAAAGTGTGTAGATTTTTATTTGGATCTAGAGTCAATCAGGTTTCATTGCATTTTTTTTTTAAATGTCTCTCTCAGTTCCTTTAATCTAGTTACCTGTCCATTTTCTCCCCCTAGCATTGGCTTTGAGAGTAAGGCTGTTTTATATAGCTAGGCTAGAGGGACATAATATTTAGGGTTAAAAATAAACATGTCCTACCAGAGAACAATTTGAAAGAGTTCAGCTTGAATTACACTTGATTTTCTCAAGTAATCATTGATAAAATGGGTTAAGATTTAAATATTGAACGTAGTTTTCTGTCTCTGGATAATGGCAATTGTTATCAACATTTACTGAATACTATAAGCCAAGCACTGTTCAAATCATAATAATTTGGTGATCAGGTAGGAATGTATAAAAAAGTGAGGAAATGACAGAAAGCACTTACTAAATATAAAGCTTTAAAAAAATCTCTCTTTATTTGGGTGCTGCCAACAATTAGGCCCTTATGAGGCTATCAAACACCGGGAAGAACTTGAAGGGAAAACAAACTAAAGGCAGCCATATGCTATCTATATTTTTTGTTCTTTATTGTTTGGCTTCCAGAGATTTAGACCCTGCATCTCAGATCTCCCAAACTAGTTTATTACTGCTATGGAAAAGCTGTGCTGTAGTGGAAATTACCCTAATCAGGAGAAAGGAAAGTGTCTTTGCTTCGTGTCTCCAGAGGAAGGCGCAGAGTAACTTCTGTGGCCTCAGATGTAATCATCAGCAGCCTTAAAATATTTTTTTTTGTATGTGCATGAGTAATCTCATGAGGCAGAAAAAGTAATTGCCCTGTTTGTAGCTCATAAGCAATATCTGGCAAAATACATGGAGAATTTGGGCTGTAGGTAAGTGAATATTAATAGGAAATTAAGTTTCATGGCCTAGAAATAAAGTGTGTTTCTGGAATTATTCACACTTTCCAAAATGGTTTATCTTATATTGGAAATCTAAAGTTCTAAAATTGCATGAAAATGTAGAAAAATCCCTCTTAGGAAAACTCTTTAAAAAGTTCCCTAGACCTTGGGAGGGAAAGCTTTAAGCCATTCCACCCAGAGAAGCAAATGCTTAATGTTTAATTTTATTTTCTCTTGACTCATATTCTCTTTACTCTTGACTGGGATCAGATGGAATATGAAAAGGAAAAATTGTTTAAAATTTTCATGTGGTTAGATTTTATTCAAAATTTCTTCATCCTTTATCAGAAAAAAAAAAACAGTCACTGAAGTTTAGAATCAGCAGTTGCTGATTGGAGACCCAGGCATTCATTTTCTCTTGTCTTGTTACTGGAAATAAAGAATAATTCATTTACCTTGTTTAGCATTGAAACTTTAGGCATTATTCAGATTCTAAGTTTCTGACTGACCAAATAATACCCTGGATATTTACCTTAAAAGACATTCATTACCATTCATATTTCCCACATTTCAGTATTTGTCATTTCCTTTTTCTAGTAGAAAAGTATGTTTTCCATTTTTTTCCTTTGTAAAAACAAAAGAATTGTGGTTTAAGGTTTCTCTTTCACAAAGTGAGGTAAGATAGGATAAAATGGATTTAAGTTACTTTGAGTTTAGAATATTACTCCTAACAGTAGTTGGAAAGTGTGGAGCTATTTTTTTTCTGAAATTTGGAACTGAATAAAACCCTTTACTTTATGATAGCAAAGCAAATATCCAAGTCAGTCTTTAGTCATTATCTACTTGCTCTTTTGCTCTTTTTTGGTTTTCTGTTTTCACTGGCTTCTCTACCCTCTCAATCCTAAATGTAGTCTTGGCTCCCTGCCATTTTGCAGGTCTTAAATCTTTCTCGGTGGGCCTGATATATTTCAACCCCACCTACCACTCAGCATTTACGCTGATTCGTGTCTCAATGTCTCCCTTTCTGCCAAGTCTAGCCCCCTTAAAAATTTAACTTGAAAGTAAACAGTTCCTATATAAACCGTAATAGCATGATTTTTTTTTTTTTTCTTTTTTGAGACAGGGTCTCACTCTATTGCCCAGGCTGGATTGCAGTGGCTTGATGACAGCTCACTGCAGGCTTGACCTCCCTGGGCTCAGGTGATCCTCCCACCTCAGCCTCCTAAGTAGCTTGGACTATAGGCATGCACCATCATGCCCAGCTAATTTTTGTATATTTTGTAGAGATGGGGTTTCACCACATTGCCTAGGCTGAGCATAAATGTTTACTATGCTAGTTTTTTGTTTTATTGAGAATAATTCACATATCATGTAGTTCACCCATTTAAAGTATACAGTTCAGTGGTTTGAAGGTAAATACAGAGTTTCGGCACCATTTTTTCAAGGTTTTTGGGTATCCTGGTCTTGAATGCAAACTGCACTTAAAGTTACAACACAGAAAAAATTTTATGCAAATTAATGACTAAACATGAGAGTGCTTCAAAAACAGCTCATGCACAAAACAGATCTAAGAATCCTAAAAGGTGCTGCTTCTGGCTTCATCCAAATATGTGGCACGATTCCACTTTGTCTCATGTGATGTTCTCTAACTAGAAACGTGTTGAGTAAATCAGACAGCTCATCTCCGCCTGAAATGGATGCTGAATTTAGTGTGTTTAGGTTAACATATTGCTATGCTAAACAAATTGTTGACAAACGTGGAATAGCTTTCCAAGAGCACAGTGAAAAGTTGACTGAATATTTGCTATTTAAGCTAGGTGTGTAATTTTAACAATTTCTATATAAGTTCACATTTTGGTGTTTTCTGTATTTTTTAAAAGTGACAGTAAATTGTGAGAACAGAATGCCCATAATTCAAAATGGCAGTTGGTAAGAGAAGGAGAGAGATATTTGTTAAATTTCATATCTAATGTTAGGGGACTTCAAAGGACACCATTTCACTCTACAGAAAGGAAAGAAGGATAAGTATAATTTCTGTTTTTGGAAAAACAAAGCAATTGATACAATTAAAACACATAGTTTATCCTTTTTAAAATCACAAGGTAAAAGAACACATCACATAGCAAGACAAATTATAAAGCAAGCAACCTGTAAGGAAGCCCTGAAACTGAAATTATGAATGTGGATATAAAAGTAAAATAGGAACACAGCAGTGTGATTCCAGGTTTATATGTGTCATCACAAAATTATAAATACAGCAGTTTAGTGAAGGTCTTATTTTGCATAGAGGATGAAGCTAAGAAATTCAGTTACTTGTGCAAGGTTATGTCCAAAATCCCTATAAACATTTGAAACTGCCTTGGGTATCAATGTTTTTGCTGCTGGCATCAACTCACAGCAGATATGTGGACTATTTTTTTTTTTTTTGGTACTGATACAAAATTTAAATTGCTCATAAAATGTTTTAGTACCCAGCAAAGTGAGAATCAAAATAATGTTAAAGTACGTTTTTAAATAATGGAATGTTACTGCAATGCCCACATTGCTTGGTGGTCATTTTTCTTATTAAAAACAGACACAAAATATGGTGAAAAGCAGATTAATTTTAAGAGCAAACTCCATTTGGAAACTAGATTGCTACAGCTGCCAATACGTAAATTTTATCTTACGTCAAATAAAGCATCCAATACTTAGAAATAAGGCAAAAGGATTTGCATGTCATTTCAATATCATACCAGCAGACCCAGTCAACAACTGTTTAATTCTCTCGGGGGGCCGTGTGTGTGCCTTTCTTTGATTTTCTATTTACTCTTGATTAGGGCCCAGACTCTGGGAGGTTGCATATAACTTGCAGATTTTTGTCCAGAGGAGATGCAAATGAACTCTGGTAGAAAAGATAACCCCGAAGGTTTTGGCTGTACTGCCCTGAAGAACTTTAACCAGTTTTGTATTTAACCTAGCAACTTTATTCTCAAATTCTTTCCTCATGGGCCATAAGTATTCAGTTATGCTAATGCTCTTTTACCATGCTGGCGGTTCTCTATTAATGAGTTAAACATTTTTCAGGTTTTCATTCTATATTCTTGTAAGAATCATGCTTAACTTTAAAAAACATTTTGGCCCTACTACTGAAGAAACAACAAAAAACCCTTGGTATGGTTTGGCTGTGCCGCCACCCAAAATCTCATCTTGAATTGTAAGCCCCATAATCCCCTCGTGTCAAGGGAGAGACCAGGTGGAGGTAATTGAATCATGGTGCGGTTTCCCGGATGCTGTTCTCGTGATAGTGAGTGAGTTCTCACGAGATCTGATGGTTTTTAAGTGTTTGGCAAGTTCCTCCTTCTGTCATTCTTCTTTCTACCGCCTTGTGAGGAAGGCATCTGACTTCTCCTTCTGCCATGATTGTAAGTTTCCTGCGGCCTTCCCAGCCATGCTGAACTGTGAGTCAATTAAACCTCTTTTCTTTATAAATTACCCAGACTCGGGCAGTTCCTTATAGCAGTGTGAAAACAGACTAATACAACCCTTAAGCAGAATTTATTATTACATAGTCACATTATTTCTAGCAGGAATAAGAGCCAAGGGGGACTGAAAAGCTTCAGTTTTTTTTTTTTTTTTCTGTTACCTATTTCTTTCTTTTTTTTTTTTTTTTGAGACGGAGTCTCGCTCTGTCGCCCAGGCTGGAGTGCAGCTGCGTGATCTCAGCTCACCACAACCTCCACCTCTTGGGTTCAAGGGATTCTCCTGTCTCAGCCTCCTGAGTAGCTGGGATTACAGGCATGTGCCACCAAGCCCAGCTCATTTTTGTATTTTTAGTAAATACAGAGTTTCACCATGTTGGTCAGGCTGGTCTCAAACTCCTGACCTCATGATCCGCCTGCCTCGGCCTTCCAAAGT